ATTATCTGCAATTGATATCCCTTTTCTATTTTTAACATTAAGGGGTTGAGAACTGAAAATGTAATATAAGCATTACTATAATACTATGGTGTTTTGCACTGGACAAAGTGAGGCTATTAAGTGTGGTCTAGGGGTGATTTTGATACCTTGGTACTTGGTTGGGGAATTGGGTACCCAAGTTATGCTTAAAGTGTAATAATGTGTGAGTTTACAAGCAGGAATCCTTTTTAATTGAAGTATGATTTTGAAATGAAACTAGTGTGATTAGCTAAAGTTTTGAGAGACTTTTTTATAGACACCTAGATTACACTAATTGGATGCGGATGAAGAATCAAGGCATGTTAAAAGTTAGTCCTGGTTATCGTCATTTGATAGCACTTATGCTATTATAAACTGTGCAATATACCGCAGCGCATGGCACAGAAAAGAGGAGTTGCAACGTGTGCATACATGCCACAGCATACTTCCTAGATTTTTGATAATTAATGTTTTTCAACTTGTTTTCAAGGACTTTAACCCTAAGATGGTATTCCATGCTTTCGTACCCATTTCTATTATGATTTGAACTTATTAGAATTATACCAAAGTGTTTTAAAGTAGTAAACCTTAGGATCTAGAATCTTAAAGGGAATTGTAACTCGATTTTACGAAGTGCCAGTATTGTTTTCAAATATGTCAATAATGGTTGGATAATTCATTCGGGTTAGTCATATAATTATCGTGGATTAGTTAGTTAAGTATGAATTAGTAAGGGCAACTATACAGTTTGTGGAATTCTTTGTCCTTTGTTAAGGATTTTAAGTAGTAAAGGATGCTAAGATATCTATTTTAGATATTGGATAGTTTTAGTCTGATTGTTTTGCTAAGGTGGTGGATTTTTCTATAGTAGCCTAGATAGCTGGTTAGTATGATTTGACATATGAGGGATAAAGTCTCTAATGTAATTCACAATTCCTAAGAGCTGTTGAATTTGAGTCATAAATAAATTTTTAGTTAGAAAGTTCTATAATTCTTAAGTAATATGTGGGTCAAGTTGGTACTGTCTATCTTAAATAATCATACTTAAGAACTTTATTTGGGCTGTACTAATATGATGTTTATAGGCCAAAAGCATAATTCCATATTTTTGGATTATCTTAAAACATTAGGCTAGTAAGTCTTTGTGCTCTTGTTTAGTCTCTGAAAACAATAGTATGTCATCAATATATACTAGAGTATTGTTGAGAATGGGCTAAAAAATGCAAACTATAGTCTTCTAGAGTAGTAATGGGGCGCTCTTAAGTCCAAGTGGCATAACCATTTATTAGTACTAGACATTAAGAATGCAGAAAGTCATCTTGCAATGCTCTGCTGGATCAATCCCTAGCTTCAAAACCCCACTTTAAGATCAAACTTTGAAAATATCTTAGCTCGCTTCAAGTGGACTAGTTGAGTGTTATCTTTGGTAAAGGAAAGTTATTATCTCGAAGAAAAGTATTAAGAGGCTTATAGTCAACAACCAACCTCTTTTTTTCTTTTTGTTTTTTCAATCTCTTCTCAACATAAAATGCTTAGCAAGCCCAATATGACTTGGTTGGTTCTATGAGCCCTTACTTAAGTAAAGCTGCATACTCTTGCTGTACTAGTGTAAGATCTTTTAGATTCATTCTAAGATGAGATGCCTTTGTGGAATTGACATATTCATTTTTCTTGAATGGTAGTCTAATAAAGATCTATTCATTTTTCTATAAAGGAAACGAATGTTGAAACTAGTCATGACTTTCATAACAAAACTAAAGAAGTTGATATTTTATAACTTAGAGGGGCTTGTTGAATCTCTAAGATACTTAAAATATCAATATATTTATTAAATAACTATTTAAACTTCAGTCCCTTAAGAAGTATATATAGATTCCTTGTTTGTTGATAGATATCAAAGCCGACAAGGATATCTTTGGCATTACTTTTAAGGAGTTTTGTTCAAACAACACATCCAAGAGAAAGTCTTATGCTAATTTTCCTTTTGGTAATAATGTTTATCTTGAAGAACTTTTTATCAATAGTGGTGAAGTATTTACTGTGTAGGACCCATTCTTCTTTAGAGAAGATGTAAAGCATTATGACATTTCTACAGGAGCTAGTATCAGTGAAGGCAATAGTTGATATGGGCTTATCATACTTACCGGGAAGAATTTGAACTTTGATATTAGGTTAAGGAATTTCATACTAGCGAGGGAATTGATTATTAAATTTTATTGGCTCTATAGTATGGATTAGAGAATATTGTTCATCATCAGAAGAATCATAGTCTTCTTTTGACATACGAAGAGTATATTATGTGTCCTCATCTCATTCAGATTGTTCTTCAAAAACAAATTCAATGTCTTCGTTATCATAGAGATGGACAATAGTCTTAAAAGATTAAAGGAGTTTCATATTCTTGTTGGACTTATTTGAAAATTTTTTAGCAAAATAACTTTTTTATCCATAGAGAAAACATCAATCAAAATTTTTTGACCTTAAGGTTCTTCTCTTGAATTATCGTAGAGGCCTTTTCTTTCTGTCAAGGGATTTATCCTTTTTATTCTTGTATATGTGGAAATTGTGTTTCTTTTTGCAAGAACATTGATCATGATCCTTGCATTTAATATTTAAGTAAGGCTTTTTATAGGCAAGTTGCAATTTTGAACTTCCCTTAAGCATTGACCTGAAGAACTTCTACTGCTCATAAAGTTTATCCAAGGTGAAAACAACTAATTAGTTAATTTCTTCGGCAAAGGTATGAGACATATCTCTTTGTAGAGCATTAATGGCTTGGTATAGCTTTAGTTGTAACTCATATGGTAATAAAGCAATGAACGAATGCCTGAGATTGACATTATTAGAACCGTTTAACATTGTGGTATTTTTCAAACATCTACTAAAAATGCTTTTGTAAATCTCTTTGATTTAATGAGCAATACTTCATTTTAAAGAACCCCTATCTACAATAAAAGATTAAAGTCTCTAAGAAATTCTTTGTGGGTCATTCTTAAGAATGATACTACGTTAGGAAGTTGTGCTACTTGTATTTTCTAGTACTCATTGAGGTGTTGAAACCATTCTCTTAAGTTCCTAATCATTCTTGAGAAAAATTCTAAGAGTACTTCACGAAGATTTGCATCTTGCTTGGTTATCTATAAATCTATATCCAAGCTTTAAACTCATGAAGTATGTCTCTCCATTTATAAAGAGATAGACCATCAAAAGTAAACCATAGTCTAAAGGATGGCTTAGAAATATGGGTACTAGTTCTTGCAAAGTTATCTTCCATGAATCTCGAATCATATTCAAGATCCTCTATAGCTTGTTCAAAAGAAGGAGATTGTACTATGGTAATTTTGATAATATCAACTAAATGTTGATCATCCCAGATTTTGAGTTTCCATATGAGAGTTCAGTTGAAATAACCACATGAGTGCTCTATTTCGTTTTCTCTTTCTATCTCTGTCTCTGTCTCTGTCTCTGTGTGTGTGTTTGTCTCTCTCTCTCTCTTTGTCTCTATCTCTGTGTGTGCGCTTTGTCTCTGTGTGTGTGTGTGTGATCTGGGCTAACAACTAAAATTTCCAACCATCTGCTTTATGATCTGGGCCAACTAGAGAGAGAGAGAGAGAGAGTGTGTGTGTGTGTGTGTGTGTGATCTGGGCCGCCAACTAAAAATTCCAACCATCTGCTTTGTGATTTAGGTCAAGTAAAAATTCTAACCATTTGCTGGGCCACATTCACATTGGGACTTACACTGCTATCTTTTGACCATTCGGCTTCTTCTAGCTCTTTTTCAAGTTGTGGATATGTGGGAGCATAGAGCACTAACCTCTAGAAAAAAAAATCAAGAGTGAAAGAGATCTTTAACCATTTAATTTAATGAAGAGTTGATGCCTTTCATGTTTGGAGAGAATCATGATTGCTAGGCCAGCAATGGAACATGGAGGTAGAATGTCTTTCATGTTTGGAGAGAATCATGATTGTTTGCCCAGCAATGGAACATGGATGTCGAATGTCTCAAATGCCCTTTTCCTTGTCGTCCTTACATTTAGTAATGGTACTATGACTTCTAATACAGGTCTATCATAATTCATACCTTGGCCTTAGCTGAGAGTATTAATCAACTCTATAGCTGGAATTACAAGGCATTTTTAAATCCCTAAGTAATTATTATTGCCCGACTCTTTTCCCATTCAATTTCTCCTAAATTCATACTTCTTTTGATTTCATTTAGCTTGTCTTTTATTGCCTATCGTCTTCTCACTCCTCCAAGCTAACCTTTATAAATGATGAAGATGATGAAAAATCCAATGAGAACGAAGAAGACATGGTTTTTTTTTTTTTTTGGATGCTAAGTTTCATTTTGAAGGGGATGAACTAAATGCATGATATTTTACAAGCGAGATTAAACCTATAACATTTCAATTATAGAAAAAAAATTGCATGTCACTAAATTACAAAATCATTAACTTAGTTTATTTTTATTTACACCCTATTTTGTTTAGAGTTCATTTTCTTTTTTATTGCTCATGAGTATATTTCTAGCAGGGGCAGTCTTATTTTTAATTCATTTTCATTTGGTCTCGAATTGGTCGTCTTTTTTGCTTGTTGTGTGCGTTTTTGGCCTTTTTTTTTGTCATAAATTGTAAATGTAAATATAAAGGTAAATGTAAATTACTGGCCAATTTTCTAGTTTTTTTTAACTGTTTTTTTTGGGTTAAACGGACTTGGGATTGGACGAAATCACCTGGGTTGTTTCTAATTAATTATAATCATAAATTATAAATATATATAGATTGGCCTTTTATTTTTCTTAGGTGTAGGCTGTATGGGCAATGAATGCATAGTTATATACATATATATGATCTGGGCCAACTAAAAATTCCAACCATCCGTTAGCCCACATTCACACTTGGACCTATGTGGTTGTTCAGACCGTCTGGCCTCTTCCATGTCTTTTCTTCCAGCTCTTTTTCAGTGCGTGGATTGTGGGAGCACAGAGCACAGGATACAACGAACGCCCTCGCTCGGGCTCGAGCTGCTTTCTAAACCCAATTTCACTTCCAAACCCTAGCATTTAGCGTTTTACGCTCTGTCTTGCTGTCTCTGTGTCTCTTCCCCTCCCTAGCGAATATGTCGAGCAACGATCCCGAGCACCGTGAAGAGGAGGTAGCCCCCGCCGGCGATGACGAGGATACCGGAGCTCAGGTTGCTCCAATCGTCAAGCTTGAGGAAGTTGCCGTCACCACCGGTGAAGAAGACGAAGATGCTATTCTCGATCTGTATACATTTGTTTGTCAACTTTTTCTTTCTTGTTCTTAGAGCTGATTGGTTTTGTCGCCGTAATTAAAGCGTGTTTGATCGATTGCAGGAAATCTAAGCTTTACCGATTTGATAAAGATGGGAATCAGTGGAAGGAAAGAGGCGCGGGTACTGTGAAGTTTCTGAAGCACAAGGTTACTGGGAAAGTTAGACTTGTGATGAGGCAATCGAAGACACTAAAGATCTGCGCCAATCATTTAAGTTTGTAACTCACTACATCTTTTATATGTATTCTTGTCACAGATTTTGGTTGCCTTTTTGAAAAAATCTCATCGTTTGCTCTTTTTTTTTTTTGGTTCTGGAACAGTTGTTCCGTCAATGACCGTGCAAGAACATGCTGGGAATGAAAAATCTTGCGTTTGGCATGCCAGGGACTTTGCCGATGGTGAACTGAAGGATGAACTTTTTTGCATTCGATTTGCCTCAATTGAAAGTAAGTGTGCGCTTCTTTCTTTCTTCTCGTTTTTTTTTCCCTGCTCTTTGAGGCTTGCACGTTTGACTCTGTTTAATTGATTAGCATCACTTTGCATTAAAAACAAAAAAATAGGGCGCGCGCTTTCAAACAATGGACTATTCTATTTATTTATTTCGATAGCTGAAATTGAAACTAACTACACTTTTGATATAACTGAAGTTTCGTACTTTTTTATAAATTTAGACAGAGATTCTGACTGCCTGAAGTCCGTACTCTGTAATTGACGGGTTCTCAGTTATGTATAATCATCTTTGTCTCATTGCATTCTTTAAAATTTTCACTGTAGTGTTTGTATGCGTCCATCTTTTTTTCTTATGGAGTTTTGCTTTTGTTTTGTGGTTTGATCTAGTGAAGGTATTTATGAGCAGGAACAGATCTAGGATGAAATTATTGGGGAGTAAAAACTTTGTTACTTTAATATCTTTATTAACATTTATAACTAAAAAATAATTCTTTTTAAGTAGTTTTACAACATGAGAGAGAGAAAGGTTGTTTGGTTTCTAGTCATATATAACCTGTGTTGGGTATTAGAAATTTGTAATTTTTCGTAATTCATAAGCATGGATAACTTCCATAGAGTCTAAGGTTCTACCCTGTGAGTAATCTGGTTAACGACGCACTTACTTCTTTTTCCTTCTGTTGGCCAGAGATGGGAATAATTGAGAAATAATAGGATTGGTACTTGGCTGTAATGGGTGTCTTTAATAGTTTCTTAGTTACACACCTCTCTTTTGCTCAAGACAACAACCATAATAATTGTTTTTCTTGCCCAATATGGAGATTGATATTGGTTTATAGAATTAGTAGTTTTTTGCCTTGCCTTGTAGATTGCAAAAGCTTTATGGAAACATTCCAAGAAGTTGCTGAATCCCAGAAGAAGAAAGAGGAAAACAAAGACGCATCTGCTGCTGCTGGTCTCCTTGAGAAGTTGAGTGTTGAAGAGAAGACTGAGAAGTCTCAGGGCAAATCTGAGGAGCAAAAAGATGTACCTGAAAAAGAAAGCAAGAATGAATCAGAGAACACGGATGCAGGGAAGAAGACGGAAGAGCCGGCATCATCAACTTGACTATAATCTATTCATGTTCATACTTCCTGGCAACATGAAAGGTTAGGTAATTGACAAGACATCCACCTTATCATCATGGGTCATTCATACTTGTAGTCCTCGGACTGTGTCATGGCCATGAAATCGAGCAGTCTGTGGCTTCTGTTGAGTCTTTTATCAGCGAGCGAATTTGGGTCAAGTTTGAATTATATTGAGGGTTGTGCTTTTGGGGTTCGGGTGTTATTGGTGTTACTTTCATTCTATATTGTGTATTTGTTGCGAGTAATGAGTCAGTCATGCTGGTTGCGAGGTGGGGATGGCTCAATAGTGAAAGTTGTAAACAAAGGTTTTGGATACAAATGGTTTGAGTTTCCCATTTTTTTTTTAGACTCAAACGCCATGGTATTATAGATTTCCTTCTCTGGTACCTTTCATGAGCTCCAAAGCATGTCTTCCCCTATCTACTACTAGCCTTCATTTTTCGTGTAGTCTTTATTTTTGCCCCGGCATTTTTGTAACAATGAAGTTCTTAAAACTTACAAGTGTCTTTAAAGATTTGTGTAATCTAATTATAACTTGGGAATTTTTATTTGAGTAATTTGTGATCCATGCACGATGTGGGATGAACTCGGTGGAAGGACGGAGAATCCAAGTTTCGCTGATAATCATCTATAATATCAAATGGAAACTCTAGTAAATCATGTTTTTCGTGAGTCGTAAAATACATCATTGGTAACATATAGGGCTGCACTATTTTTACTTCGATCAATGAGTAGAACCCTTTATGTGTTTTACTGGAATTAGAACGAGAGTTGGATTTACATGTGGCAAAAAAATTTGAAATATGTTAGCGTTATTGTTTTCTTAGAGGAAAAGAGTATGTTGAAAAATTGAGCGCTCGGGTGAGTCTGTGTTGGCATGGCTAGAAGCTGACTGACATGCTGTCAAAGCAGAGCAGATAACCTACTGGTTTTTTATTATAAAATATGAACATAGGCTTCCAAAACATTGAATGGAAAACATTGCCTTGTCGTTCCTTATGAAAGTGTGGCCTCTTTCTTTTCGAACATGGTCTTTCTGATGAACAAATCTTAGAGGTCATCTATTCTGACTCCCTAGTATCTCCACTCCCGGTACATGAGGTGATGAGCGAGTAAAACCAACAAGGGATGTAACTAAAGGCTAGACTGTCCATTCATTTGATGCTGGGGTTGATGAGAACTAGTTATTTTGTTAATCTTCGTAAATCATTAATTTTTTCAACTGAACACTCCGTTGTTCAAAGAAATTGAAGAGAAAGATGCAGAAAAATCGAATCAGATCATACGCAAAGAGGGGCAAAATCAGTAACTCACACAGTGAAAGCTGTCTACCATCTATCTGATCTTGAACTCGGTTTCCAAATGGTTTCAAATCCGAAGATCAATTATTTATGGGTTCATATACCTCTCAATTCCGCTTTGTATAACTCTATAAATCAATCAAATGCACCGTCATATGTCTCAAGTTACAATCTGAGCGTTGTCTTACTTCAACCTTTCCTGTCGTCTCATCTCTCAAAGACTTTCTTCACTTTTCTCTCCACAGCTTGCATTCATTGAACTGACTGAGTATTTCTTTCTTTACCCTAAAAATTCTGTTGTTTTCCCCTTTTTATTATTACCAGTATCAGAGACCTGCTGTTTCCTGAGTAATTTTAGACAAAATGCCTAGATCACGAGAAACATGCATGGTCGATGAAGAAACTCCCGATCAATAAAAAATCGATTCTGCAATATCTAAAGTTGAAAATAATGGAGGTTTACCTCCGATCAAGTCATATCAATTTTACCAAACCCAACGTTCTGTTCTTGGTTTCATCCAAAACTCTCTTGCCAAAACTTTTTAGATGGAGAAATCTTCATGTCCCAATCCCAAGAAATAGCCTCTCTTATTTCTCAAGAAATGGTCAACCGTTGTAAGAAGAGATTCAACTTCATCCACATTGGATTAATCCAAGTCTTTGTTCAACCTTTACAAAGAGTAGGAACCAACACGCCAATCTTGATGATTCTTAGAGACAATAGAATCGAAGACTTTGAAACCTCAATAGCGGCAATTGTAGCATCAAGTCTCTTTGATGGACCTGTCTCTTTCAACTGTTATCCAACTATGTTGTTTCCTTTAATAACCCAAAAACCATTGATTCGCTAGCCTTCGTGGTTAGAACTCTTGATGGGAAGTGGAAGGAAGGAACCTCACAAACTTATATTCGCTATAGAATGCACTACAAGTTATAAAAACCCAATCAAGACTTCAAAAGTTCAAGGAAGTCTCGCGGGAATAAAGCTGTAAACGTACAAGCTAATTCCCAGGAGCAGTCTATCGCAGTAATAACTGCGAAAATGCCCAAACTGGATCAATTGGCTTACCCAGATTCATGGGAGCTCAAAGATGCAGTATCTCAAAACCAAGAACCTCAAAAGAGCTTGGTATAGTTGAAAATGAGTGACAGAATTTCAGAGAGAACAAAAGCCTCTTTTACAGGCTACAAAGTGCAGTTGCCAACTCCAAAGCCTCACCAATTGGTTACAACCCTTTCCATTATTACAGCAAAACATTGTTCTATTTGTTTGGTCGCCATCCAAAAATCCTTCATCCTACTGCTCAAGAAGCTTATTCATTGATTCTGTCATCAAAAACCATAAACCCTGACCATGGATGGCATGCTGAGATCATGATCTCAGACAACACCTCCTCAAACATTTTCCCAATCATCTTTGAAGGAGTTTCCAGATCAAATGGTGGAAAAGTCACAGTTGAACGGAAAGATGTTGCAATTAACTTTTTTTTTTTTTTTGGGGCCAAACAATTAACCAGGTTCAAAGACCCAGCTTTTGAAGAAACTCACAAACCTAATCTCAAATCAGTGGCTCTTAGATGATGAATTCTTAAGTAGCTGTTAGAAAGTGCACCGACTAATTAAGGCTGATTACAGAAGAACGAAGAAAACAAGCACACACGGTGAAATAATAAAATAAACAGAGAAAAATATGGACACTACATTAATTACACTATGGCTGCAGAAGAAGGTCCGAGAGAAGAACGAAGAATGAATGGCGTGACTGACACATACACATACGTAGGAGGCTTTGCAAGTTGTGCGCGTGCGCAGCAAAGTGGGTAGTAAGGAGAGGGAAAGAGTGAGGTGGAGAGTAAAGTGTGAAAGAGAACAGGTGTGGTGTCACGAAAGAAGAAAGAGTGTGTGAGAATTGAAGAAAAGTCACGAGGGTTTGTGTAAATTGTAATTTGAGTGAATAATAAAAGTATGTTTTTAGTTGAATCCCCCTGTTTGTCCATCCTCAAATTCCAACGTTTAGTATTAGAGTCAAAGCTACCAAAATGCAGCTAAGCTGCTCGAGAGTAATTGATAAACTTTGAATATTCAAGCAAAAGACTTTGGAAGTCTAGATTCATTAGAAGTTTTGCTGGTATAATCCAAAATTGTGAAATACACTGGTCAAAAACTAAATTAACTTGGTTTAAGTATTGGGCACTAATTACATCACTACGGTAGACATGATGTCAAATGCTTGTTTAGTGGAGAAGCTAAATAATGACAATTATCAATTATAGAGTACAATAGTCGATCTCTATCTTGGAGGTTAGAACTTAGAATATCTGAGATCTCATTGATAAAGATGATGCAATGCCGCCAACAAATCCAAGTGAATTGAAGAAGTGGCAGGTAAGAGCTAAGAAAGCTCTTTACATATTAATTGTTTTCATTAGAGTCACAAATCATTAGATTTGTCAAATAAGAGAAGACGCCAAAGAAAGCATGGGATATGTTGGTCTCACTGTTTGCAATAACAAATGATGTGAAGTTGTAATTGTTGGAGAATGAGCTTGCCTTGATTTGGCATGATGATAAGCGAGTAAGTGAGTATTTTTCAATAGTTAAATCTATTTGCAATGAAATGTCAAACTTAAACCCAAGGAATTCTATTAGGGATACATAGAAGAAGAGAATTATTATGGGGTTAAATTTAAAATATTGCGGTCTAATTACAATTTGAAGAACTTGGTCCATGGAACGAACTTTAATTGAGTTGGAAAGTATCCTAGCTAACCAGGAAGTTTTGGATACACAAATGTCCAATTTTTTTTTTGAAAGATGAGAAAAGGCTCTTTTTGGCAAAAAGAGAGATTGACAGGAGGAGTCTAACACAAAAAAGTAAGGAGATGATTATAGGTGACAAAATAGCTAGCATAGAAGATGTTGCAATAGAAGCTCATATCAAGGGAGAGCTTGCAAAGATTGAGGCAAGCTCGATGAAAGCAAAAATTGTTGAAGAAAGGTCAGTGTTACAATTGTGGAAAGGTTGGCCACTTTTTTTGAAATTGTTGGCATAAAAGGGCTAAAGAAAATATTGTCACCTCTAACAATAAAAACGACAGCAAGGAAGGAAGGGATTTTCAAGCTTCATGTGCCATTGAAGAAGAAATGGCAATAGAAGATTTTTATGAAGAAGAAATGGTAGCAGCTTGTGTTACAAAAGTAGTAGATGAAGTCAATGAAAAGAACGTCAAGGTAAAAAGAACAAAGATGCAAGTAAGGACTAGGATGATCTAGAAGAACTCAGTTTGGAGAAGGTGATTGAATCATGTTTAAGTGTTTAGAGTTCAATCAAAGAAAAATATGAAGAAGATAGAGAGCAAGACCAATTTTCACTACTGTAAAGATTTATGGAGATGCAAAAGTCAAGTACCAAGAATATTTTAAGGCACAAGACAAAGTTGGTTATATATGAGTTTCTTCAAGAAAACAAAGTCGACTATGACAAGTTCAAGAAGCCATTTGAAAGATGAAAAAATAAGGATAATGGAAAGACTAATTAGTCGATGAGGTAGGGTATTAGAAAATGTACTGACTAATGAAGGATAATTCTAGAAGAACGGAGAAAACAAGCAATGGGGTGAAATAATAAAATAAACAAAGAAAATATGACACTATTAATTACTCTATGGCAATAGAAGAAGGTTCAAGAAGAATGAAGAATGAATGATGTAACCGACACACACACACATAAATAGGAGGCTTTGGAAGTTGTGCGTGTGCAGTAAAGTGAGTAACAAGAAGAGAAAGTTTGGTGGAGAGTAAGTGTAAAAGAGTGTGAGTGCGGTGCCACGAAGAAAAGAGAGTTTGAGAATTGAAAAAAAATCACAAGTGTTTGTGTAAAATATAGTTTGAGTGAATAATGAAAGTATGTTTTCAGTTGAATTCTTTTCTTTCTCCATCCTCAAATCCCAGCACTAGCCTCTGGATTTTCAACAACTTCAAATTTCAGTGCCTTGAAGATTGCCAACACTGGAAGACAAGCCCAAGAGAATTGTAATTCCCCAAAAATTAAAAGATCAAGAATTCAATGTTAGCGGTTGGCAAGA